TAATCAACACAAACGTATATTCTTGACCTGTATGAATGCAGGTGTGTGTGTGTGTGTGTGTGTGTGTGTGTACACATGCATGTATTTCATGCCAATTTTGTTGCGTATAGTTTAACACATAACACACTTACCTGTGTACAGATCAGGAGCATAGACAGCACCAACTACAGGATTGATTTTCCATCCTATAACGACATCCAGGCAGAGAGAAGAATCAAATGAAAAATATGCCTCATATCTTCTTTCTTCTTGCTCTGCCAGTCTCCCCACATATCTGGCCAATCTCCCAGCTCACCAGAACCTGCCCAACCTTGACAGAAAATGCCAAGCCATTTGCCCATGCATATGTTTTAGAAAGACAGGGACTGTGTCTGACAGCTGGTTGAAGTAATTCTGTCTTGTTAGTTGGAGTACTACAACCCTGGAAACTATTGGAAATCCATGCCAGCAACAGAATGCCAGGGCAGAAATGATGCCTTTGTGGAATCTGCACGCATCTTAAATATTTCCATCCCATTACAAGCTGCCCCATTTATTGATTCATTTCTATTCTGCCAACTTTATACAGTGTCCTGGTGGTATATAGCCTCTACATTTGAAAGCATGGTAGAGGCATGGGGGGGCTTAGGATCTAAAGCAACATTTTTTAGCCTGGGTACCTTCCAGATGCATAGACTTTAACTCCCAGACAGCACGGCCATTGCCGGGAATTCTGGATACAGAAGCCCAATATTTGGTGGGTGTCGAGGGGAGAGAAGACATATCAACAATTTCTCCTGGTATGGATTTTAGCTTCCCCAATATCAGAGTTTCTAATTACTGTATCAGGAAAAGTTGGGGGCTGGGGGAAATGGGACAGTGTTAGGGGATTTTCCTTTCAATAGATGGAGGTCACTCTCTGAACTTGGAGCGTGACATCTGATGTATTCTACTCCCTCGGACTCTGTACCGGGTTCCAGACAACTGAAGCCTAAGTCTTTCATGTGGCACCAGGTCCTACTGACTGCACTTCAGCATACAGGCCTTTTTATCCCTTGCCACGGCTCTTCTTCTAACGGGCTGGCAGATGGCCAGCTCAACCTGGCAGCACCGCTGCAACAAAAACTGGAAGATATAAACTGGGTTTGTCCAACACTCTTAACCTGGTTAATGAATGAGATCATTTTCTGAGTTCATACAATATTCTTGAACCATGAGACTTTTCTAAGCATCTGGACCCAACAAAGTGTCATAAAGAAACCAAACTGGCTGCATTTGCACAACACACTAAGTCACAAAAAAACTAACCAAATTCAGCAAGTCTATACCAGCGTGGTTAAACATGTTGTACAAATCTAGCCATAATGCATGGGAGTAAAGACAAAAAGAAAGATGCAGAGCACTGTGTACTCGGAATTGGCAACTTACTTGAGACTAGGGCTATATCATCATCATCATCCTTCCTCTGCCCAGGGAGTCATGGCCAGTGACATCATAACATCACTGGATTGGACAGGGCCATCATTTTCAGTGCTTTTTTGGCAGGGTTTTTTTTTGGGTAGTGGTGGTAAATGTGGTGGTGTTAAGCCTGGCAAATAATTAAGGCATGCTTTGGGCTCCTTAACCTCCTCCAAATCAGAATTAATGGGTCCAATTTGAGGGTGGGGGTGGATGGCTTTTGAAGTATGAAATATGTCTTAAGCTTCTACAAGTTTATGACATCATTTAACTCCTTAAAACCCCCAAATCTCCCAAATCACAAAAAAAGGCTGAAAAAAAAACCACCCATTCCAAAGTTGGGGGCTCTGGAGGTTGAAAAAGAGGTCTGGGGGAGGACATATGAGAACTGCAGACTACCTGCTTCGCCTTAGCCCCAAGCACCTACTTGCCATGCTAGTCAGAAAAACGAACGTACTGTCTTGCACAAGAGCAGGCCTTTGCTGTCATGTTCTAGTGTGAGAACCCTAGACTGTCTATTTTAAAGATGGCATGTAGAAGAAAACATATTGCATTTATTGCATACCGTTCACTACAGGTGCCACTGGGGGTTTCTTGGTGACTAAACGGGCAGTGGCATTGTTGACCTGCATGGGAGAAAGAAGCAGAAAGTCAGATCACATGGGCATCAAGTTGTACTCATTTCTTCTAGAAGTAAAGCAGGCTGGTATTATAACTTGTCTTTGAAGAAGTCTTGACGTGGCTGTTAAGATGCAAGACTTTGGGTGAATTCACATATAAATCTGTTCAGTATTCCTTGCAGGTACATACAACATATCCTGCTTCCCTGGCTGTTAAGTATTGCACTGAGTCTTAGAAGAGGAACCTTCAGTGAACTGCTCAGTTTGAAGTGCTGTTTTTCTGATAACTCCCTCTTATGTGCTGGTGGTACATATTTTGGCAACATAAGGACTACCACTCAAAGACTTAGGCTTCCTCTAGTATACTCAGGTACAAATAAATATTAACAAAAGGGATAGTTCTAGTCCCCAGTATTCTATTCTGCTTCCACTCCTGCAGTTTCTGTCTTTCTCCCCACAAGAGTTTTCACTGGGCTGTTCTGGGGTTCTCCCCACCTCAACTTCGTGATGTCCCATCTTTATTACCATGCTTACTGTAACACGCTCTACATAGGCCTGCCTCTGAAGATAACTCAGAAGCTACAACTGGTACAGAATTGTACATAGTACAGAACACTATTGCAATAGTGATTTTGTGGTTGCTGTGGTGGTTGCCAGTAGGCTCTGGGCCCAGTTTAAAGTGCTGGTCATCAAAGACCTATACAGCATATTCTGGGTTATATAAGAGACCATTTTATTTCAGATGATTCTTCCAGTCTTATGAGACCATCTAGAAAGGGTCTGCTTAAGGTCCCATCTCTGTACGAGAAGAAAAAGATGTGGACTTCTTTTTAAGCAGACATTTGAGACATAACCTAGTGGTGACTTGGGGGGCTATGGTGGGCTACATTTTGCTGGTTTTATGTATGTATGTATGTTGGTTGGGTTGATTTATGTGGGCATCTAAGAGTGCTGTTTTATGCTGATATTTTAGATTCTGCAACCCCCAGATTAGCCTGAGTGGGCAGTTCAGAAATTTCTGAAGTAAACAAACTTGACATAAAAAACAGCACTTGGAAAATTAAATGTATTATTAGTTTATAGAAACGTGATGGTTTGGGCAGGACTCTTCCCTGCCCCTGGCCAACACAGCCAGGGATTCTAGGACAAAAACTCAGAAGGCACCAGGTTGTGAAAGGCTGGCTTACACCAATCTTGCCCAACCAACTCCTAAAACTTTCAGCAATAACCATGGTGACTGGGAATTCTGGGAGCTTAAGCTGATATATCTAGAAGACTCCCAAGTTGGGGCCAATAGTAAACACCATGTTGAACAAAGTTATATATGCTGATACATGCTTGTATGATACATGAATTAAACTCTCACCTCAATTTTCCTCCCTTCCACAATACTGCTGTTTAGTTTTTCTCGTGCCCGGTCAGCGTCTTGGCTGTTTTCAAAGGTAACAAACCCAAAACCCTAAGAAAATAGCAGATCTGTGTCACTAGATTAAACTGGAAAGATTTACTTGCAATGCAAAAACAATCAGAAGTGAGTTACATGGCTGTGCAGCACTCAGATTGAATTCCAAAAAAGTGCTACTAGAACATGCAGGAGTCCTCTGTAGTTGCCATGTGATCCTGGGGAAAGTTGAGGCTGCTTTAAAGAGTTGCAGACAGGATCTCTCTTTGCACTCTGAAGTGTCGTTTTGTTTCAAATCCAAAGCATTTCAACCCTAGTAACTCTCTCCTATTTATCTTGCTGCCAATCCTGAGACCTTTTTGAATTCAGCAACCTTGGAGCATGCATTGATTATATTTTACTAATTTAAGGATTCATGAGGTCTTTAGGATCTCATCCCTGTTCTAATGGTAGTACAAAGCTGTTCCCACAGAGAATTAAGTTCTTTATTTTGGTTTCAAACTTTAAGCCAAAATTCACACTGAAATACTCAAGCATCTTGCCTGAAGAGACAGGCAAGGATAGGTATCATCCCTAAGAAAAATTGTTATAGCTGCCTTGCCCAACTGTGGGCCCAACAGATGTGCTGGGGCTACATTCATATAGACACACATAAAAAGCAACAGAAAGGGAATTAGAAATAGTGAGCCAAAGAAATTAAAGGCATGAGATAAGAAAAGGAAATATAGCTATATTTAGCTTACACTATTACCATATTTATTGGCGTATCACACACACTTTTTTCCCTAAAATTTGGGGCTGAAATCCTAGCTGTGTGTTATACACCGATATGCGTATTATATGCCAATGTATGAGCCCTGCGGCTTCTCACCTCAAGCAGCAGGGCTGGGAGAGCGGAGCCTCCATTTGAGCCAGGGCTGTAACCGGGGCTGCAACTGCGCACTTCCCACCTCCTCCAACTGATGGCACTTAAACCATGCCTCCTCTGTTTGCAGTCTTTAGTAACATCACCCGCGCAGTCCAGCACTCAGCGTGTCAGAGCAAAGCAGAGCCGGCACTTTGCTCTGACTCATTACTACACACCGGAACGCTGCAAAGAGAGGAGGGAAGCTCACGGCACTTTAGTGACATCACCCGCGTGGTCTGGTGTGTAGTAATGAGTCAGAGCAAAGCATCATTCTAACACATACGCCCACTGTCACAGAATGTGTCAAGGCAATAACTAGCAAAATTTGGGGCTGGATCAGTACCATTCCTAAAAATCAATGCAACCTTGCAAAAAAGTTGCATTGCTTGACTGTCTGCCATCACCAAATCCTGCATTTCTTTTCTGCTCACAGAACGCAGACAATACAGCATCCTCCTTAGGAAACTCCCCCTCCTGGCAGTACCTTCGAGCCACGCTCATTAAAGATTATCTCCACGTCGAGGATTTTTCCAAATTGCTGGAAAACAGAAAGAAAATCAATCACTGTCAGAAGCAATGCACAGCCCTGTTCTTATCAAGAGACTCATTCACAGCCATATATATGGGCTCAAACTATATACCAGTATTTGTTAAAAGTATATGCTTGTTTATTTTGCTTTTTATTCTATCCAATAACCAATGTTCTTTAGATGAATTGTTGGGGTCTCAATGTTTTTTTGGAGCAAATTGCAGGTATTGTTCCAACAACTCACCTGAAATATAGACACTTGTAACATCCTATGGCAGGGAGATCCAGCCCATCCCACATAGTTTCCTACATCAGGAAATACAGGTTGTGCTTCTACTAGCTCAGATCTCAAGAGCTGGCAATGTGCTGAAGTTAGTATTACAATACTGGACAACTGTCTGGGACTCACAGATATTGCAAGGTGCTTCCTGAACACAAGACCTGATCTTTTTTACTAAAGAAACCAATGTAAATGAAAAGATTAAGGATTCCAGCACTGAAGTCAGGTAAGTCTCCTTAAGGATGCAGGGAGAACTGACTTACCCCAAACATCTGCCGCAGGTCTGGATCACGGAAGCGGAAAGGGATATTGGACACATGTAAGCGCTTGGGCTGGGCTTTATTCTCCTCGCTCTCGGCTTCTTCTGTCTCTGGAGATAGCTCAGGTGCAGGGACTTCTTCAGGTTGCTATGGGGAAGGGTGGGGACGGGAAGAAAGCAGGATCACACACATCATTGGGTCAACTCTCCCCATATTCACCAAGAGAGGGACCTTCCAAATCCTGTAATTCAGCCATGGATGAGAAAAGAAGGCTGAACGTGTCTGAGATCAGGTTGAATTCAATTCAAGTTTGAAGCAGTCACAAGGGAGGATACTGAAATTTGCAGTGTGATTGACTACAGTCTATGGAAAGAAAACCAGTTGCCATGAGGCACAGGGAAGACTTATATAGCAACATCTCCATGAGAAATGTATTGGCCATTATATAGGAGAAAGCACAGAGGCTGGGTTACATATGGTGGCAGCAGCCCCTTGCATCCTCTGTAAAACTTGGTAACCATCAACCTACACCATCCTCATGTTGAATCTTGAAAACTGCTTTCAAGCTATAGATCTACTGAGCTAGAACTGTCTTCTTCATATGGCGTGATCCCTCCAGGGTTTCAGGAAGGGGTCTTTGAGATTTTCCCCAGCCATGGTGGCTGGAGATTTCAGGACCTAATGTCCCTACTCCTTTGGAGGGTACCCAATTGGACAAAAGATTGCTTTGAGCAAAGTCAAATTTATGACCCCTTCAGGGCAATGAGGCTTTCTCTAGTGGGCTTAGCTCAGACAAGAAGATGGTCAATCCTTTCTATGTTTTCTGAACTATCCCTTGCACTTGGCTTATGATCAGTGTTGTCCAAACTTGGCCACTTTAAGATGAGTGGACTTCAACTCCCAGAATTCCCCACCATGCTTGCTGGGGGATTTTTGGGGGTTTAATTCCCCCCACTTTAAAGGGCCCAAGTTTGGAAAAAATTGCTTTTTATGTTAAAAAAAAAAAAAAGG